ACCCAAACCATTCTATGATTCTGTGATTACTGTCCTAGTAATTAAATTGAGATGCACTCTTATTTATTTGGACTGCTATTTTGAAAGCCAACCCATGTCTACTGTTTTGCTGAAGAGTTTTGGAATTGCTGGGAAGGGGAAAGCCCATCATCTTCAAGCTTTTTCAGTAAGCAAGGGTGGAAATATGAGTATAGGTTACTGAGGTTATTGTTTTAGGGGACTCCAAAGACCACATACTGAGACATTGCAAGGAAGAACTATGCATAGGCATTTCTGTACTAGAGACTGCTGTGGGGGGAAAACACATGGAAATTTTGTGGATTTAATTACCATTTCTCCAAAAATTTTGATTCAGAGATGATGTAGTTACTCAAAAGATGTCACAGATCAGTATTGTCCTGCAAACTGATGTAGTGCTGGAATTTAGTACTTTGAAGCAAGCTGAGTGTTTGCCTTGGAAGTAGTTGTTGTTTCACCTCAAAGTATTTCTTCTGTCTTCCTACATGGAAGTGAATAATCCAGCAGTATAGGATTTTTTTTCTTGTAATAAAAAGAAGCTCAGGTGATGTTGGCTTTTTTTTTTTGCGTGAACATGGAACAGACTCTTTCAATAAAATGTCCTTGTTGCCATTCTGTGTTCAAAAGATCTCTAAATAAATCAGCCTTAAAAAAAAGTCAAAATAGATATTGTGACTTGAGACTATTTCACATTTTTCACATTTTTTTACCTTTTTTTTTTTAATCTTTTTTTTTTTAATCTCGTCTAGATTTTTTGCTTTGGGGGAAATGGTTTGTTTTAAGAACGTAGAATAATATTGTCAATAGGTTGTAATTTTCTGTCATTGGATGGTTTTAAAAAATTAATCTCTGCAATAGCCTAGTGTCTATCTTGGAGAAATCAAACCTCCAAAACCCTTTGAAAAATGAAAACTTGTAGTAGTCTCCAGCACTTTCAGCAATATTGGCCTTTTAAGCCTATTTTTTGGAATCATTTGGTAGGGTTTTTCATTGGATGTTTTGCTATTCCCAAATAAGACTGAAACATTTTTGAATGCTCTAGGGTTTTACTTGACTTATAAGCAATCAAAATACAGAATTTACTGTGCCCTGTCAAAACATCCACCTTCAAACATGTTACCCTCCTTGCAAGTCACCGTTAATCTTTTGCTTGCAAGCATGAAATTTTATTACTGTTACTTCTTACAACTGTGAGTGATAATAGTGGATTAGCTGTTTTAAAGATTTGTGTATAATGTTTAATATTTTATTTGTCTTGGTAGGCCTCAACAAACAACGAAAGTTCAAATCACAGTTTCGGAAGCTTGGGATCTTTAAGTGATAAAGAATCAGAGGTAAGTATATGGGGCAGAGTAATTATTAACTCAAAATTTTGGTGCTAACAAGTCATGGTTTTGTATTCTGCTTCGATGCCTTATTTTATATAGAAACTTTTAAAATAAAATGCAAAATACACAGCTAGATAAGAAAAAGCATACATTACTAAAAGATAACATCTCTTGGAGGGAGGGGTCATGACTTCATAAAGTTTCTTTGGATTTTTGGTTATGAAAATAGCCGCTTCTGCTTCTTTATTATCCATGTAGTCATGCTGTGAGGATACATACAGCTTTTGGAGCTGAAAATGCTTAAACAGTTTGCTGGTTTTTGTTTAATAAGTAATAAGGTTTTCATCAGTACAGACAAACTTTGACTAGTCTTTGGCTGCATCTTTGAAAATACTCTAGAAGCTAGTTTGCTATGTTTTCTTTAAAAATACAGATTTACTCCAAGGTCAGACAGTAGCTATCATCTGATTTGTAAAAGCTGGAGTTGTCACTGTGTATTTTCTTACGTAGTACCACTTCATAATCCAAAAAAGGATTCATACTACTATGAGGCTTTAATGTGCAGAGTGCAGACTTCCCTGGAGTAGAAAATTTTCCTCTTAGTGACGAGCATTGATGTACTTGCACTAATGCAGATCTTACAATTTACCTTTTTTGGGGTCGATGAGTCTCTCTAACAGTTTTGTCTGTGTACATAACGGATTGCATTGATAAGATTATACCCGTTGTAAGCAAAAGCATATTTCTAGCCTAGGTTAGGCCTGTGTTTGAGTATGTTGTGCTGGAGGGAGAGTTGTTTGGAGTGTGGTTTTGACGTTCTTCTCACATGTTAAAGCTTTTATTTTGAGGCCTAATTGTTCATTTAATCAGTACGAGATAGTACCTGATGTTTGCTTTTATACGGGGCTGACCAGCAAGTGAATTTAGTTGGTTCCCAAGACCAATACCTTATAAATAAATGTTCTGTTTGTGTGATTTCATGTTTTCCTTTTGAAAAAGCCTCTGCTATGGTTTTTTCCCCTTGCTTTTCCCAGCTGGATTTTCATTTCAGTTGTATGTATGCTATTTTCTTAACCAGAAGAGTCTGTCTGCCTGTTGTTTTTCTTCGTGGCTTTTCCTAGAAGTACTTAGGGCAGTGTTGCAGTGATGCAGTTCTGATGTAGGAGTGGGAACGGAAATGTGCTGCAGTACCTTGAAGGTTATGATGCATTATTGCAATTCTTGACAGAAGAATGTGTCTGTCAGTAGTTGAGTAATCTCAGAATGCTTGACTATACTAACTTTTTGGTGTAGAAAAATGTTATTTTACAGTTGTATACGTGAGATACGGAGGCAGGGTTTTTCCAAGGCATGTAAGTTTGAAGTTCAACTGGTATATTCAGTCTTTGCACAGTGTTTTAACCTCAAGCCACGCTTCTAGGTAGGGATAATACATTATTTTTTAAAAAGTATTCTAAAACTTGGATTCTAAAATAGAAATATACTTTTTTTTTTTCCCTAAAAAGTCTCTGCACAGATCTCGAGTGCTTCAGTGCACAGAACTTCAGGTTTCTTTTGTGTTTTCTGAAAGATGAGTCTTAATGACATTGAATAATTAAATATGATTTCTTGACCCATTTTCAGTTGTCAGTCATATTCACTTAAATTATAATTGTAATACCAAATATGTTAATAAGTTTTTAGAGTTTTGTTCTTAAAATAACATCTGGTTACTTGTATGCTGTAATCCTATAAAAAGTACACTTTAGTTTATATTGCAGGCAGGTTGTGGGATTTTTTTTTGGTGGTTTGTTGGTTTTTTTTTAATGGTATGACAATGAAGGTTTCATACTAACAGGGAATTCCTCTTGTGGATGGTACTGTAGAAATACAAAGATTTACTCATATGGGAAGCAGTGCCGTCATTTGATGTTGAGAGAGAAGGTTGTATTACAGTAGATTTCAGGAGGAAAAAAATGTAGAAATGCAAATCTCAGAATCGTTGAAATTAATTTCTAGCAAGAATGTCAGTTTCTGATCAAATTGTGATGGTATATTCATGTCATTGTTCTATCCTTTCGTCACTAAATGGCACATTAAAAGAAAGTCATACTTAGTTTTAAAAACAAGGCAGGCTTGACACCCCCCTCCCATTTTTGTTCTTCTGGTGTGAATTTACTTTTTGCATGTGGCATTGCAGAAAATACAACTATTAGAACTGTAGTCTTTTTTTTCCTGTCTGTTGGATGTATGAAGAGGGGCAGCTTATCTGAATAATAGTTTTAATTGAGAAGAGACTTCTGAAGTGACTGAAAGCAGTTTCAGTCTTTTGTTTATCAGGAGGATACTCCTCAGTCCCATTAGTCTTCAGTTTCTTGTAATTTGTATGATTCCATTCATTAAAAAGGACTTTAGAGGACATTTTCTAGTGATTGATGTATGCTGTACATTACCATGTGAATTTTGTACTTAGAAAAGGTGAACATGACCTTGTTGGGTAACCTCATTAATAACCTCATTAGTGTGCTAATACTTTTTAGTTTGAAAGGTTAAATTAAACACTGAAAGAGATCAGAAGAGCTTAAGGAAATAGACATTTATGAATTATTTGAGTTTCAGTTTTAAAATTATAAACGTCTTTAAATGTCTGTTTTTTAAATACAAGACATAAGTCACTGCAGTTGGAAACTAATTTTGATGGGGGAAATCTTAAATGCTTAGTTATTAATTAGCTTTTAACTTTCTTTTGCTTTATATGGCAGGTAAAACTGACACATGAGAATAACAACTGCAAAATTGAAAGCTGGAAAATAAGAATAATGTGAAAAAGATTGGTTAAATAGTTTCAATTTAGTTTTGTGGAAAGATAGCTTAATGTTACCTATTTGCTTGGCAGTAATTGCAAATTATTAAAGGAGTATTTCTAAACCATATTTTCTGCTTTTAGAGTCGTACAGTCTTAAGATAACTTCGTTGTCAGGAGTCTGTTTTGCACAGTTTGCTAATGTACAATAGCACTGTAAAAGATGCAGATTTTGGTTGGAACAGTTTATTTAAAATGAAATGTATGTAATTTGGACTTTAGTTGTACCCCAATTAAAAAAACAGTTACAATTGTAAAACTTCCGAAGGTGTTTTTATGAAGCTATCTCCAGAGCTAAAACTTCTAAAAATTGCATGCTATAGATAAGGAACACCCTTCTTGTCCTGATTGTTCTTTTACAGACTGATAATTTTCTACAGATTGCAGGTAACTTAAAATGGTTCTTTGCCAGAATAAGTATTTTAGGGTGTTTGTAGTAAATCTACTTTGGAAGATATCCATATGAAGATCTGTGGAACTGTGAAACATACTTGAAATGGATTGAAATTTGAACTTTTATGTCGTTTACTGTGTTGAGAAAGAATACTTGAAGCGCAAAGTAACAAATACAGGAAATTATAAAATGATGGTATCATTAAAAAAATTACACATGTTCTCACTGATCTCAGATTTGGTCTGGGATACTAGGGACCATCGATTTCCTGATTGTAAATAGAGTTCATGTAATGGCTTCTATGCTTTCTCTGGTTGTTGGTATGAGGCTCCTCGGAGGCTGAATACACACACAGCTGCAGTATCTTTTCATTGAACCAAAACAACTTGTAGAATTTAACTTACACTGGGGGAGACTAACTGGTATGAATCCTCAGATCAAGGGAGAGCAAATATAAATCAGAGATACTTCTGATCACAGCCCTTTCTTGTTATCTATGTAGTAGGTAGTGACTGTCATTTCTATGCAGCTATATATAGTATTTCTGGAATAAATTTTTAACAGATCTGTATCTTTTTCACTTGATGTTTTTCTTTGACTTTCTTGAGATACAAATATAATGGGGAGGGAATGGTGACACTTTCCAAGCGGACAGATATTCAAATTTTGAGCAATTGCTCTCTCCTTTTTTTCATCTTTTTTTCTCTTTTTTCCTTTTTTTTTTCCCTTTTTTTTTTTAAAGTTATAAGCAGATTCTAGAAATCTACAGTTTATATTAGTTTGGAGAGGACTTCTGCACTTCTGAAAATGTGTAATATGATTGGCTTCCTATTGAAGCACTAGAACGTTGTGTTTATACTGTGGAAACGTGTAGTTAACACCATCAAGAATCACCTTATTTCACTAAGTATTAAGCTTTAAAACACCCACAACTATCATATGAAGTTCTTGGTAAAATGTAGCTGTAAGTGAAACCACATTGGGTGTTCATAAACCCCAGAATGGATGAAAAGGTATAATTGCTTAACAATTAATATGTACAATTGCCTTTTGGGAAATTATTTAAGAATTATTTCTCACTTTCTTAAATATCTTTTCTAGCTTGTATTTATCTGATTGACCAAGGATCATATTATCTACTTTAACTATGATCTGAAATTACATCCCTGCTGAATTGTGAAATCATGTTTTATGAATGAGGATTTAAATTGATTTCACAATAATATAGCAATAATACAAATAAATAGAGCTGCTGTTGGATTGTGTGCTTTTTGTTGCTTGTAGACTCCAGAGAAGAAACAGTCAGAACCTTCCAGAGGAAGAAAAAGAAAAGCAGACACTCAGAGTGAAAGCAGCCAAGGTAAACTACAATGTAAATGGATAGTTATTGCATATATTTAACCAAATTATAATGCACAAAGTTTTGAATGTTAGACTTAAAAATTCTGTATGTTTGCTTCCACAAGACACGTGTTGGGTTTTGGATAATAAATTATGTATCATCTGTTTCCCCTCATTTGTCACTGGAAGGGATGGGCAAGTAAAATCTGAACTGGGCTGGTAATTGCCCATAAAAAGCGTCTGCTACTGTGTGTGTAACTTGCAACTATGATACAACTCTGTATACTTTTTAAGAATTGTAGCAGCTCTTCTCATCCAAAATACCTTTGTGGTTTGTATTTCTTTTTGATAGGTAAGGGGGAAAAGGGATTACAGATTATAATATCTGACTGCTTGTAGTACAGGTATATTTGAAATTGAATTTTATCCTTCCTTTTCTATGTATTATTGTACAGTGTAGTTGTCTAGAGGGATGGGGAAATGGGGATGAGACCGATTTCCAATTTAATATTTACAAAACATAGATATTGTCTTTCCTCTCTTTAATGTGATTTTGGGGAGGAGTGGTGGAAATTAAACCTCAAGACAAAAATTCATCAAAAGGGGAGTGGAAATAGTTTTGATAACATCTGTATTAGCTTTTTTTGGTTTCTAACTGAACTAAGAAATGTCCCTTCAGATATGTATCAATGGACTCCGTGTCTGGAAGTCTTCATGATGCAACATGCTATTAGTAGAAGAATTATGTATTTTGACTAAAATTAATTTCTTTGTAAGTGTTGCTTCATAGAGACCTGCTTTGTTCAAAGAACTTGAATGAAATTTCCGATTTCCATTGTTCTAGAAGCCTATCCTTCCTGCTACCAATGAGAGTTCAAATTAGAGATGATAGAAATTTTAGGAACTTTTTGGCGTAGACGACATGATTTTAATGTCTTATAATTAGTGTTTTACTGTCAGCAGTGGTGAAACTGAATAGTCTGCACTGCAGTGTTCTCAAGGAACAGGCCTAGGAAACTGCAGCATATTGAAGCTGTACAGTACAGTTGAAGCATGGCAAATACTGCTATTGTATTGAGAAAAGGAACAAGAGATCCATTTCTTATATATTGCATACCTGGGGTTTTGACTTTGTAATGTGCAAAATAATCCATAAATGTTGAAGAAAAGTATTGTTTAGAACATAGAGGTAATTGGAAAGTAGGATAAAATCATTGTAAATCTATTCATAATTGGCTGTGCCAAAATAATTTAATGTATTTTTTCAGTGCAGAGTTCTGCATGTGGCATAGAATAGATTTTTCTATATTGAAATGGAATGCAGTCTGTTTCATTTATTTGCATGAAAGCAAATTTAAATTAGATAAAGCGATAGAAGAGAATTAAGCATGAAGACAGAAACTGCTAGCAGAATTACAGAGTGGGTGAAGAACTGGATAGAGGGCAGTAGCAGTGACATGTACACAAGTGAATATCTACTGGAGGAGTTAGCTGGGTGCTGTTCTAGGTCTGAATTATTTTATCTAAATATTTCTGTTGAAAGTCTTGACACAGAAAAGGGCTGCCAAATGTTTCTGTTTCTTTGTGATATTCTTAGTGACACAAAGTTACGCAATACTGTCAGTATAGAGGCATGTTGGACTAGAAAGAATTCTTCAGGGCTGAAGCAATAGAAAAGCTTGAAAATCTTTGCTAAAAAGTCCAAAATTACATTTTTGGACATATGGGTAATGATCTCCTAACTTACTGCAAAAATTTCTTTCTGTAAAGAAAAAAGCTTTGAACAATGGTCCATTTTCAAGGTGTGTCGTAACAGGTGGTCTGACCTGTGCAAGAGACAAATACAGTCTTAAGACTTAACAGTCATTTTAGGGCCAAATAGAAGAAAACAGTTATGCCATTGGGTAAGTCATTGGTGCAGTCTCTGGAACACCACATATGGGTCAGGTCCTCATGTTGAAGAAAGATTAATTCACACTGAAGCTCCTGAAGTCTTGATGCTGATTAAGATAAAAGGAATTCTGCTCTCATTCTGCTCTGTTTATCTCCCTAGTTAACCCTGTGAGTTTGCCAATTCATAATCAGGTTGGGAGGAATGGAAATGCTTGTAATCCTCCATGCCCACACTGTTATTGGCACTTAGAGAAATACTTGGCCTGAACATTTGAGCACAATAACTCACCTGGAGCATATGATGTTAAGAGACTTGGTTAATTTAGTATTTTGGAAGCGGGTGAACTTTGAGATAGTGCTTGAAAAGGGGAGGGACTTAGAGCTAAAGGTAGGATGAGAGATGAGTTTCCTGTTATCTAGAAGAGATCTAGGCTTACTGCTAAGTCTGCACTAATCCAGTTTAGGAGTTGAAGTGTGACTTCTGATTTCTCAATGAATGGAATATGCAAATCTCTTCGTTGTGGCCAGTCCCTTAATTATCTACATGTGGAGATCACATATTGGCACATCAAAGAAAACCAATTAACAAGTGGTAAGACTTTACTATAATTACTGTACAGGTAAAATGTAAGACACATCTATAAGTAATTTATTTAAGCAATTCTAATGTATTAATGTATTTGTTTCAGGAAAGAATATTGGGGGACGCAGTCACAAGATTAGTGACTATTTTGAGGTAAGGTTTTTGTGTGTATAATTCACTTTAGCTTTAAAATTTACTTTTAGCTTTTTCTGGATGTTACAAAATTTTGCTTGTAATGAACAAGCCTCTTGCAAGGATACTTTTTTTTTCCTTTATGTAAGTTTGAGTATTAAAACTTGAAGCAGAGATGCAATGGTCTCTTGGTGCAGCCTGAGCTAAAATACAAAAACCATTTTCTTTCACGCTTTTCTTTAAATGGCCAAAGACTACACTAATAAAAGTAATACAATCTGATTTACAAATTCTGTGTACAGATGGGCTGTGTTTCAGTAGATGTATAATGTATTTTGATAAGAAGATTGACTAATTGGAGGGCCCTATCTTCTCTACAGTACCAAGGTGGAAACGGCTCTAGTCCAGTGCGAGGCGTACCACCTACGATCCGATCTCCTCAGAATTCACATTCCGCTCCTTCTTCTGTAAGCTCGTGAACTTCGTAACTGCTGAAAATACTTTAATAGTCTAAAAGTAGCATAACTGAAAACAATATATTCAAGGGAAGAGTTTTCAAAGGAAGGAATCCAGGGAAGCAGTTCATTCTTTCAAAAGGGGGAGTGGGGTGGAGGAAGGATCAAGTTAAATATTAAAATGAGAATTTTCTGTTAATGTTGGGGCTTTTTTCCTAAAACATTTTTTAGATATAAAGTAATTTTGTTGAATAAATGTTAAAATGTTCTAATTGTATCTGTTCAGAAGCCTCACACAAAGGGGAGGATTTTTGTTACTTGTGAGGAGACTGAACCCTGAACTCAGGACTTTAAAAGCTGTTTTTGATGAATCATAAGTATTTAAATAATTGACACCTAATTTGTCTGTATCCTTTTGAAGTTGTCTTTGTTGGTCATGCTAATTCTTTTTTTTTTTCGTCCTCACATGCACAATTTCAGCATTAAGTACACCCGCATGTGATTCTAAATGGCCAAATAGATTCTGCCAGTTACTGAAAGGATTTATTTTCTCTGGTGCTAAACCTCAGCTTTTATTCCATGTACTTTCAACTTCATCTTATTCTTGCTAAAAGTATGGAGTGTAATACAGATTGTAGAATTTTGCTTGAAAATAATCTCATTCACACAGACTAGTGGGTTTTGGGAAGTTTCATTAGCGGAATTTGTGTTCTGATCTGCACTAGCTTCCCCCTTCTGTGTCTCCCATGGGAAATAACCACTCCAAAAATAACTTACATTGTTTTACTTTTGAGTTGTGAAAGCTTAGAATCAGAAAAATAAGTCTCTGTAAGACTGACATCACCTTATGTCAGTCTTGTATTGTCTTAAATCTTTCAATTTGTTTCCCAAAGTTCCCAAGCAATCTTCATTTTCTCAGAGAATATGTGCCTCGTTTCTAAACTGCAAGTAATATATAGCAGCATAGCAATACCTCTCAATGCAGTGCTCCAAGTAGTATCTTCTGTAATAAAGATACCTTATTTCTCTATTCTATATGATCTTCCTGCCAAGAGTTGTAAGCAGGGCTATGTTCATAATTGAATATCACAATTGTATCTAAACCCCTTTGTTTTTATGCATTCCAGGTTCGACAGAATAGTCCTTCTCCTACTTCATTAGCTTTCGGGGACCACCCTATCACGCAACCAAAGCAGTTATCTTTTAAAATTACTCAGGTAACTATTTTTGAGTAGGGCTATCCTATATCACTTCAGACTGTAGAAAAAACCTGATAGATAGTTTATTTCTTTGTCTTTCAACTTCTTCTAATCTCTTGAAGGCTTTCAAAAGCTTTGCTCTTTACAGTCTGCTGAAGCATTTTTCTGTTAAGCAGCTCATAATTTAAATCTCTCTGATTAGTTTTGTATTCCTTGCTTGCTTGCTTCCTACATTGCACTTCATGAGTAGTAAGATGACCATGTCATTGATAGGCTTTTGCTCAAGGTTTTAGCAGTTGTGTGATCTTAGAAGTAAAGGCTGCTCTTTCAGGCAGTATTTGAAGTGACAGCTCCTGTTGTCATATTGCATTTAAAATACGATATTGAAAAAGAAAAATGAGATGGTAATCAAAATGATCAAGATACAGTTCTGTCATTACTTTTAAAAGCCAAAAGCAAGTGTTTTAATCCTTTCTGCCGTTTCTGACATGATCTGTTCTTTCTCAAGTTAGTCAGAACAAGGCTATTTCACCTGTTGACCAAATACAGAGATTTAAAGTAATTAGCTGACATTTACATTCTTGCCCTGTTTTATGTTTTTTTTATGAACAACAACTTTTCAATTAGTGATGAAATCTTTTAACACCGTTCATGATTTATCCCAGCTGTTCAGGGGTCCTCATGAAGAGGGGAAGCAGTTCTGAATAAGAACCTTCCATGTCACTTTAAAAACACTTGGAAATAGGATGTGCTGGTCTTGTTGAATGTTTTAAAGTAGTTTATTTCTCTGTGTAACAAAGATGAGAAAAATAATGCTGTAATTGTTAAAGGATAAATATTTCAAAATGTTCTTTTTAGACTGATCTCACAATGCTGAAATTAGCTGCACTAGAAAGTAATAAAAATCAAGACTTGGAAAAGAAAGAAGGTCGTATAGACGACTTACTCAGGGTAAGTGTTAGACATGGGGTGAAGATATTTGTTCAGAAAAACAGTGAATCTGAGGCAAATATTTTAAATGTTTGAATAAGCCTTGTTTTTAAAAATTGCCCTGGAGTTACCTAAATTAAAAGGTGAAATGAGTTCTTAATTTTTGTAATTTTTTTTTTTCTGAAAATCCAAGAAGTCTATAAAATTAAATGCATAAGGGTTTTTTTTCTGCTTCTGTGCTACTGTTTTTTAATAATTAAATATTTTTATAGAATTTCTGAATGTACAGAGAAAGTTGATGCTGTTTTGCAGGCAGTTGATTAATTCTTTAAGTTTGTAATACAATTTCACGTAAGAGGTCGGGTTTTGTTGTACTAATTGTGGATAGCAGTTATCAGTGGGACAACTGTTGGCAGTTTCAGAATGGAGATGATTGTGACAGAAATTATTATGGGCAATAAATAACTATTCATGAGAAACCTATGCTATACTGTGCTCTTAAGACTCGTTTTCAGAAAAAAAAATCTTAATGCTTCTGCTCTTGAAAGAAGTGTTGGAGAGGTGATATATAGAAATATGAAACAATTTGTAGTCTGTTTAGTGTTTATATGTGGACAAGTACATATTAACCTATGCAGTCATACATTATAAAATTGTGTATGTGAACTGTTTTAGGACATACTCAACAGTATGGGATAGACAAATCTAACCTTTTTTTAAAATAAAATAATTTAGTTTTAAACAAAATAATATCAATGTGGGTTTTTTTAAGGTAATAAGTTAAATATAATTGGGTCGTAGGGAACTTGTTAAACTTAATTGAATAATAGTCGAAACTTCTACAATTGTGAATTTTTTGTTTCCTTTTAAATGAAAAACGTTGGGATTTCACGTGACTTCAGCAATCAGATGTAAAGGATCTGGAGCTAAAATTAAACTTCCCGTTTAACACTGGAGGACTAGAAAAGTGATCAGTAGAATGGTTTTATATGTTAATTATATGCTGAATGCTCTGTAATACAGCGTGCAGCTCAGTGTAAAGGAAGTAAAAAAGGAAGCAAGGTATCCTTCTACAAATTGGGAAAGATCTATCACATGAGATTTTTGCCTATAGATATATATGTTTTATGCATGTTCCTTAGTTTAGTCATGTGAAGGTAGATACCTTTATTTTCTGTGACAGCTGATCAAAAAAAATGGTGTTTCGATACATCTTTTCAAAATTTATGTATGTTCATTAGGCTAACTGTGATCTTAGAAGACAAATAGATGAACAACAAAAGCTACTTGAAAAATATAAAGAAAGGTTAAACAAATGCATTTCAATGAGCAAGAAGCTTCTGATTGAAAAGGTAAGTTTACTTTTAAAGTATTTGTGATAAAAACTTTGAGGGTGCTGTAGAACTCCATTATCAGCCCTTCATTTTCACTATTTCGCATTAGTCTTTGAGACTGAAACTTCATATGCATGGTCTCTATCTGGAAGTGTGTGTTTTTTATAAGCCTGAATAGGCAAAATAGAATGTTGACTCTTTTTCAGATTGTGGAAAATGTGACCTTTCTAATTTAAGGGGGGGGTTCCCATCATGAGTAATTCAGATATAGCAAAGCATAAAAGGTCAGAATTTAGTGTGTGGTAAATTTTCTGGACAAACTTTAAGAATAAGATTACAGTGGATGAAAAGATTTCTGAACGTAATCGGTTGTGAAGAAGAGACTGATAAAATCTCTTTGTGAGACAACTTAAGTGGCTGAGATAATTTTTGATCTAAAGTGATAAAATGCTATGTTAGCTCAGAATTAATGGAAACAAGCAAATGAAGGTGATCATTTACATTCATGCTACTATGACAGAAATATTTATTTCAAATTTAATGCCAATTATAGTTAAACTAGCAGAATTTCTTAAAAGACAAGGATACCTTGTTTATCTCTTCTTTAAAATAGCCTTATTTAAAAAAATATTAATGAAAAGGCAATAGAAAATCAACTTATTACAAATTAGGATACAAAAAAGGTAAACAGCCAAGTCTGTTCCCTAACACTAGCCGCTAGATGCTGCTGTCAGATACAAGGGCACCAACTGATCCATTAGAGGATTAGGGAGTTTCCTTGCTAGCATGCCATAAATAAATTATTGCAGTCCTTTTTAAGTTCCAGCATGAGGGGAATCCAGACAAAAGACTCATCAGATCTGTTGAGCGTGATGCAATACGGACACCTTCAGACTGAGAATATCGTATGAGCCATTTTTCATGAAAGGCCATGCAGGCCTTCTCTTCAGTGCAGAAGTCTGTTTGCACAAAGATCCTTAATTCTGTCTACTTCTCTCACTTTTTTTTGTGTGTGTGTGTGATTTTGAGCCATAGGCATTTCTTAAGAAACAAGCGTTTGTAACAATTAAAGAAGTTTCTGTCCATCAGCAGTGTTCACAGTGCTCTTCTTGTGCTGAAGCAGACTAGGCAGACTCAGTCACTTATCTCAAGGAGGCTTGTGGTAGTAATGACTGGTTCTGAGATGAACATCTGTTTCTGTTGCTGCAAGTGAATATCTGATTGCAGTTAAGTCTACCTGCAGTGCATTGCCACACAGAGATTCCTGAGCTCAGTCAGTTTGGTACAAGTAGTAACAGAGATGCTCCATCAAGGGAGTTTCCAGACTAAGTATAGTAGGTGCGCTCTTCTTGATATCTAAGCAGGCTCATTTAGTATAATGGGCATGTACAGGCATAATCTTAGTTATATGCCTGTATGATGCTGATGATCTCAGTTTTGCTGTATTTACAAATAAAATGTTTTGTTAATTATGAAGAACAGTGAACTTTATAGGAAAACTGAGCCACTCAGACTTTTTTTTTGTGCACAAATCGTTGTTAGTTAGTACCAGTTCTGACAACTGCAGAAGTTTGAGTTCTGCAGAAATTAGAATAAATGGAGTAAAGTAATGAAAAGATATTTTCATCTACTCTTTTTTTCCCTCACTTAGAAAGTTGTTGGAGGAAACAATCCTGAGTGTTTTTACTGACTTTTTGAACACTTTAGTGTTACTAAATACTATTTTTTTGTTGTTGTTTTCTTAGAGCACGCAGGAAAAACTGGCAAGCAGAGAGAAGAGCATGCAAGACAGATTACGCCTGGGGCATTTTACAACAGTTCGTCATGGTGCTTCATTTACTGAACAGTGGACAGATGGCTTTGCATTTCAAAATCTTGTGAAGTTAGTCAATGCTATGTTCTTAAAATTCTCACTAATTGTTAGTTCCCTCTAGTGGATTTTTTTATTACTAAGGTTCTAGGATTGGAGCGGCTTTTCATACGTTGTGTTCTGCTTTGCCTTTTGAAGGCTAAGAATACAGTACAGAACTCCTTTAATCAACTGAGAGAACACTAAGGTTTGGTATCTTTGAAAAACAGTTTGGTTTCACTTGATTTTAACTATCCTTAAAAAAGCATGAATGTACTAAATGAGCAGCGTGTAATTATTCAGCTCAGCTGGTAGAAAGAGCTGTAAAACTAAATCAGTGATTTTTCAAGCAGCATGTATCACTGGTGGTCACTGGGGCAGATGAGGCCTGTGAAGTTCTCATTCGTCACATAGTGCTGCATATCCATCACTGTAGCAGCTTTTTCAGGGATCCAGCTCCTCAGTGCCGTGAAAGAGGAGTGACAAATCTGGCAGCCTCAGATAGGGTCTAGTGCAAGTGGGTGGGGGAAAGCAGCCACCTGGGAAAGAGCTGCTGTGACAGGTATTTCAGCAGAGATAGAGCCAAGGAAAGGACCCCTGGGAGACCATCAGAGATGGTGGTAAAACAATTATGCAATGCCCTGGAAGATGTTCTTTGGTAACGAGTCTGCTTCAATCTTTGGACATTGTATGTATAAAAAAGTGATTCACCAGGGGTTTAGTTTTTGAAGGGCAATATGTAGTCATAGCATTATGTGATTGTCTAGGGCATTGTTGGGGTTTTTCTTAAGACAAGCTTAAAAAGAGTATGTATATGTGTTTTGCATAAAATCTGTAATTGTTTGCCATACAACCAAACCGGTGGTTTATTTGGGAACGGTCAGATCAAATTCAGTATTTGGCCTATAAAAATGAAGTACTTTGTCTCTGTTACACTTCTTTTGATGGTATAAAAGAAGGTATCCAACAGCTCAGATACTTTCTTTTTTTTTTTCTTCTTTTTCTAGTGCAGAAATCGTGTGTAACACTTCAAAACCAAAACAACCTCAAAACAACCCCCCACCGTGTATTTCAAAACTAAATTGTGCCAAAACGCCAGCAAAATTTTTCACTCATGAAGAGCACTGGTGTTCTTTTTCCTAGGAAACATTTTCATGTGCACAGAAAGTTTTCTAAAAATTTCTTAATGTTTTATCAGTTGAAAAAAATGGTTCTTCAAAAAATGCAAAATGATGAAACTTTAATAAAGCTTTTTTTGGGGTTTACAGGCAGCAAGAATGGGTGAATCAACAAAGGGAAGACATTGAAAGGCAAAGAAAGCTCCTGGCCAAGCGAAAGCCTCCAACTACAAATAATTCTCAGGCACCATCTGCCAATTCTGAACCCAAGCAGAGGAAAAATAAAGCTGTGAATGGGGCAGAAAACGATCCCTTTGTTAGACCCAATTTACCACAGCTGTAAGTTTAACATTTCAATCAGTCTTTTACATAAATTCTCAGATATTGTCTGTGTGAGTTCTATTCAAATAACAGCATAAAAAGACACTCAGTATATTCAGCAGCTATATTCTCACTGACGACTTGCTGATGTTAGGGAAATTTGCACCACTGCCTATGAAGATGTCGTACAATTGCCCAATTTATTTTTGGTAAAGTCACCAGAGAAAAGCCCATTCTGTGTTTATGCAATGTTCCTTCTGTTTTCCTGACCTAGAGGAGTTCTTATTCTGGTCTCCCACTCTTGTAATGTCGCTGATGCTGTTGAACTTTTCTTGCTCTCCATTGGCTTAGGAGCCTCTTTTTTAGTTGGAGATCATTTCATTTTTCATATAACAGTCTATCTGAGAAGAAAAGTTCTTTTCAGCCTTTAGTATTTGAAGACGTATCTAAAAACAAATGGAAAAAATGTGTTTGGGTTTTTTTTCCTTTCTGAATGCTAGATCCTGAGAGCAACTGTCAGAAGTTACTGATCGCATTTCACATATTGACAATGTTGAAATTTTTTATCATTTAAACACAAAAATTGAGAGCTATCAAAGAATTCTCCATTTTTCAAGTGACATTTTTTTCCTGCAGACCGAAATGATATAATTCAAGGCACAGACAGATGTGTTTTTGACATTTGAGTATTTTAAGAAGTTGCTTTTTGGAAATACTAGTTATTGCCCTTGATGCTAAGAGGCTGCAGCTGATAGTGTGTCTGTTTCTAGTCAGCTTAAATAAAAAGTAAATAACTAGGGTTAAAAAAGACTAAGAAATTCATCTTGTTACTTTGCAGAAGTAGGCTACATGTGTTGAATGTGGTCACCTGTACCTCTCACTTGTGGAGGTAGTAATTTATGCCTCTGGGGATGAGGAGTAAATAAATTACTCTGGTTAGATCTGCAAAATACATATGCTTGGACTGTCAGTTTGAAGGCAGCTGCATATATTTTGCATAATGCATCATTCTTAAAGTTCACATTGTGAAATTGTTTGACTGTGACAAAAATATCATGAAAATACAGTAGTAAGGCTGGTGATGTAAGCAAATCTTGATTAGTGTTACTCGTATTTTGGTAGAGAGCTGAAGAGTCAATGCTCAATTTGATTCTTTAGTAATACTTAGTGCCTACGTTTCTTCTGCTTAGGACATAATTAATACTTCTGAATAGTACAGTAGATAATTACCATCATGTTAAAAAAACCTTTTTATTTGAATGTAATCTCTCTTAAATGTTAAAAGTAACATTTAAGTAGAGGAAAAGACCTGAAAAATTACAGAACTTTTGATTTGCCAGCTTTTGGCCATGTCTTCATTCATGTTAAATTTCTATAATCTTATTGCTGCTTTAGGAGGTGATAAAATATACATTTGGGAAAAAATACAGAAGATGGGTTCTCATTATTAAGTAGGACAAAATTAATTCCTGAATTAGACTTCTGTATATTTTCTGGTGTTATGCGGTTGTAAATAATTTCCAAATGACTAAAAACTTCACATTTTCGTTTCATTTGACTTAACCAGTTACATGTTAAATTCTTGCTGGTTACAGAATTGCCAAGAGAACAATCAGAATTGCCCTTTTGTATGTAATGCTAGCATAAATGTAAACTGTTACTGAATCAAAACTGTTTTGCCTTTAAGTATCCTAATTAGATCATTATATAATCTAGATAAGAGATTGCTTACCTCTATGATAAGCTTATAAATTTTGTTTCAGACCTTGGAGAGGGTCTGTAATGTGTCCTGAGATCACAGAATCGTTAAGCTGCATCATGCTCTTCAGCCTTTACTTGAAAGGGTTTTTTAAATGTTTGTATTTAGGATTCGTTATAACTTTATATAGTAGTGTTATGTGTTGACTCCTCTCTGTTTCTCAGTACAGAATTAAATATGCTTTGTGTATCTTGGTAAAACAACTATTAATTGTGTGCTTCCATTTTAGAGTAAACTTGTCGTCTACTGTATGTGAGTCCCTCCTATTACATTGTGCTTATCACTGTTCCTGTGTTACTTCAGAAGTAATGATCATAATTAGTATAGCCAAATGGAACAGTTTCTGGTTATATGAGGCATGGGGAAATGTAGAACTGCTTGAGATTAATGAACTAAACCATTAGTAAATCAGTACAACATATATGCAAGTGATTAGGCAGATCTTTTTTAAACAAACAACTTGCTAGCAGTTGTTAGCAACAAGTGTCTCTACCACTGTGTTGTTTGCTTTAGAAGATGTCTCCAGCTGCAGATACTGACAAACAAAATGATGTATAAGTTTGTAAGAAGCAGTATTTTTGAAGGCCTTTCTGAAAACAGGTGTTAAGTGTTTTGAAATGGATTGAAGGTACTGCCTGAGGTATTCTTAATAAGGGCATTTTTTTAGTTTAGCTGAATATACTATGGTCTCTGATACCAATTTAAAAGCAAAATTTTTGCACTGAAGTTATTAGTATAAAAGTGGCCATCTGCCACTGTCCTGTGAGTGAATGATGGGTTTGGTGTTTAAATAACACGCACAGATGAGTCTAAACACTGTCCTGGTTTTGCATCATTCTTTCCCTTTTTGTGGCCCAAACCAAAACTAAAAAGTAGTTTCAATTTTGAGACATCTCTTTTCTGCTAAGCAAAGTGATTTTATTAGTCTTACATGAAAGAAATACTTTGGAATTTATTTAAAGAAAAAAACCACCTATTTGAAGTAGAGCTTGCCACCTTAGCCCTGGAAAAATCTGTTTCAAAACTCTATTCTAAATTCTTCAGAGACTGGAGAGATTATAATACTAGTCCCTGCTTCTTGGAATCAGTTCTTATTTCACTAGACAATTATTTTGAGGAGCAACATTTTATTTAGTTTAGGTGGTGTAGTCCTTCCTGTGCAACTTCAGCCATTTCAGTTCTGTTCACTTCCCAGTCACCTCTTCCTCTGCTTTCCAGTTCCTCCATGGGAGTCTGCATGCATCATTGTCCCTGCATGCGATTTGGAATAGGAGAGCAGAGCGAGCTGGCAGAGTTTGTTACTTTAGCTGAACAAATGCATCATTTAGAGGGAGCAGTCTGTTCTGTATGGAACAAATAAAAATATTTTCAGAAACTTTTTCAGGCTGAAGTGCCAACAATGTGTCTGGGCTTTACAGGACAAGTAAAGACAGCTCCGGTCCTTAGGCAGTCTCTTTCTAAGGCAAACATGGAAACAATGGGCGAAAAGACCTCACGGAAGGCTTTGACTTGGTCAGCGCCTGCCTATCCTTGTAAAATTCGAGGAACTAGAGTGAGAATAAGGTTGGACAAAAAAAAGAAGCGCTTTAGAAATTGTAGCAAAAAACTTGCATGTGTGTATGGCTGTTTGGGGGCATGGCTGCGTTCTGCTATGCCTTTGTATCCAGGATGATTTTTCAACTGGGAAAAAGTGGGTGGAGAGATGGTTGTAAATGTGCCAGGCTTGATCATCGTGAAAACTAAGGAGCATGTGGCCATTTTGGTTTTTTGTCTTGTCTGTACCCACTAGTAAGAGTGTTTTGATCATAAGAGAAGGTTTTGTCTGAACTTGCAAGAAAGAAGTGCAAAGATCATCGGTTATGTCTACCCATGCATACTGTGCCAAAGCCTTTGAAATTTGGCTATGAAAATGTTGTTTACAGTCGTAAGGCTTATTTTTGCTAATTAAAAAAAAAAAAGTTTAAATTTGTGATAATCAAGCCTGTCAGGACTGGTAAGCTGTCCACTTTCTTCCAGCGACAAGTAAAGGTGGTACACCGTGACCCTACACGTCACAGGAAGATTACACTACATGTACAGAATATGTCCAGTGCTTTTTAGGGAATTTTGAGAATTCATTGTACGATAGCTCATTTTGCTGTAGACAGTTAAAATATAGCATTTAATTCACAGTAATTTTGAGTGGAAAAGAATACAGTCAGGACCAGACTGTTACCAGCTTAATTCATGCAGCTTACTGCCAGCTGAACTTTTTCCCCAGCACGCCTCAGATTAGCCTCAAGCCTGACTATCCCAACTTTTCATTTAGTGGATGGCAACAGCCTGTTTCTGGCCAACGTCCCGCCCCTATGCTCCTCAATGTTGCTTTCTCCACATCTGATGAGACGTGTGTGTCACAGGTGATGGAGGAGCAACCCTTCTGCAGGAAATGATGGTGTCTCGTAGGTGACTTCTGTTCTCAGAAGATGCCTCCAATGTGCCACTGCACTGCAAAAGGCAGCAGGTGGATGCAGGTGGGAAGCCTTGGGCTGATAGAAAGCAGTCTCTAGGCTGGATGTTTTCAGCCTGTGCAGCAGGGTGGTGGCCTATAGCCAGAAAACAGACAGCATGCACACTGTTGTCATTTTACTGCTGTTTGTCATGTGCTATTTTAGTATGAATATGAAGTACAGTATAGGTACAGATAAAAAGTAGTAAACTCTTTCTAAAAAAAAAGTTTGCTTTTTCTGAATGTGAGGGAAAAGTTTGGTGTTTCATAAGTAAACGAACAAAATCCAGAGTGACTGTATACAGTTCAGCATTTTATACGCCTTCCTCCCAAATGTGGTGGTTGGTAACGACAGTTTCAAATTGCTGTGAATCATGCTGTGCCTCTAATAGAGTTAGATTTGTAAGGAAATAGAAAAATGGAAAACAGTCATTTGTTGGGATATAGCATGGAAACATGGAAAGAGTGACTTTGAATCTTAATGTTTTCAATATGACCTTTTACTTATGCTCTGTGCTCAAGAGGGCTATGTAAGAACTTTTTGGAAGGCAATACTTGCTAGAGCTGTCTAGGCACTTTGTCATAACTGTGTAGATAGCTGAGATTTTTTATAAAAAGGACCAGATTTCCTATATTATGTTAGTTTTTCGGGAGATCTGTGGTTTTAGTGCTCTTAGTGTTCAATGAAAATTCTGGAAGGTCATGTCATAAACTGTTTTTCCAGTGTCTTTTACTTTGGTTCAGTTTTGCTAAGCCACCTAAACACTCTTC